CCACACAGAAACTTAGAAATACAAGCAGAACCATCATGATGTTGGAGCAGCCTCAAATTTCACCTAACTGCATGATGCAGCTTCAGGGAAACATGGCTGGCGGCCTTGCAGAGGTTTCACTGTCCTTGCTGCAAACCATGAAACTCAGCACCATCCTCCATACAGTAGCCTGAGCGCTCAGTGTGGGCTCCTGTCATTGATGCCAGTAACCAAGGACTTAACCTGTGAATCACTGCAGTTGGACATCACAGGGGATCTAGAGCTATCTGACTGAAAAAAGCCTCTGACTGCTCTGTCTAAGTCAGAAGACAACAGGTGTAAAAAATTATTGGGAATTGCTTAAACATGTTTTAAGTAAAAAAAAATCCTGCATCTGGATGGATGTTTATACAAAACAATCACAACGTGAACCTGGCAAAAAAAAGGTCCAATAAACATTTTTCTCAGATATTACAATATTCGGGTGGGCACAGTAGGGTATGGCTCAAATCCCAGGAATTTAGCAGGCTGAGGTGAGAGGATGACATGTTCTAGTCTACCCTAGGTAACCTGTCTCAAAATTAAAAATTAAAGGGCCTGGGGATGTAGCTCAGTGACACAGCACCCCTGGGTTCAATTCCTAGAATATAAAAAAAATGAGAGTGTTCACGGCACCCAGGTATTCCAGGGAACTGAGATAGCCCATGCAGGCCAGGAAGAATCCTTTCAGAGAGGACCAAGAAAGACCGACATGCCCAGCACTGGTTGCTCTCCAGGCTCAGGTCTGCAGAGAACTGAGGCTGGAGGGGTATAAACAGCACTACCATGTGTTAAAGCAGCAGCCCCAGCTCCACTATCCACAGGCCCTGGAGGAGCTGAGCTCTTGCTGTTTCTTCTGTTTTCTTTACAGCTATTTCCTCATGGAACTCCATTAAAACTCAACTTAACACAAGCTAAGAGAGACCCTCTGAGTACACTGAGCAACTAAACTCTTGCCTCCAAAAATACTTTGGAAAGTCACTACACACAATGGCTACACCCTTCAACAAAGGCAAACTCTGAATAGAGGGAGAAACTGATTTCAGAGGAATCCATTGTAATATTCAAATACCCACTTCTCAAAAGCAACAAAATAAAGAATACACAGAAATAGGAATATACAGAAATAGGAATATACATCTCATCAATGGAAAAATGCTTGAATTAAACCACTATTAAGAAAACATGGACAGGGCTAAGGTTGTGGCTCAGTGGTAGAGCACTTGCCTGGCATGGGTGAGGCACTGGGTTCAAACCTCAGCACCACATTAAAAAAAAAAATAAACAAATAAAATAAAGACATTGTGTTCACCTATAATTTTAAAAAAAGCTTAAAAAAAAAAAAGAAAACATGAACACTAGAGTCACTAACAAGACTTAAAACCAACTGCCTGAATCTTTAAGATGCACGACCTACAACAGGTCAAAACACCTGATGAATAACTGAGAGACTCACATGGACACGCAGTGAAATCCAGTGACAGAAGGAGTCAGCGGCAATCGCCTGACAGTGAGTGACAGCTGGAGCACACAGAAGAGCTGTCGTGGTGTCAGTCTAGCTCAACAGCACACCCACCACAGGTACCTCTAGGGCACTTAGCCAACAGCAGCCCAGCACACATCCTTCTCAACATCACAGGGAAGTATCCACGACCAGCCACCTTCAGCCACGACAGGCGTTAGTGCAGAAGGCTACCAAATCCCAACATGGCACCAGGAACACTGGAATTACCATGGCGTCAGTAACAGAAACACAACTGGGTGACCTACAGATATCTGCAGGTTAAATCCCAAAGTTCTAAACAGCACATGGGTCAAGGGTGTCTCAGGATCAGTCTGAATATTTCAAAGGAAGAAAAAACTGAAACTGCATCTTAGGAAACTTTGTGGAAGAGAGCACAGGCAAGGCTTAGGGGGAATTAGAGGAGCTGAAGGATTATATTACAAAAGAAGAACTAAAATCAACCCTTCATCCCTCCACTTCAGGAACTAAAGAACGAACAGAAATGAGAACCTATATCTGATGCTATCATATAATTAAAGACATCAATGAAACTGTGATGAGGAAATCAATAGAGAATCAACTCAAAAGCAGGCTCTTTGTGGACATACTTGTAACAGATACACCACAGCTAAGTTAAGAAAAGAGACACAAAACTTACTCAGCAGAAATGAAAGATACCATTATTCATCCTACAGAGAGTAAAAAAACCATAAAGGAATATTATGAATAACTGTCTGGACCCAATTTGAGAACTCAGATGAACGGGACCAACTCCAGGAGGAAAACAATCTACCACAACTCACACTGGAGGAGGAACACACAACATGGACAGGCTAATGAAATGATAATAACCATCATCAGAGGAAAGGCATGGCTCAGTGACGTCATGGTGGATTCTGCACCACACTAAGGAGGAAATGAAAACTACCCTTAATCCCCTCTAAAAGGAAGCAGGTAACACTTCCAACTCATTCCTCAAGGTGTAGCCTATATGATATGCTGTGATGTGAACAGTTTCTGGCAGCCAGACCAGGGAACCTGCGTGGACCATAGATGAGTGGATTCAGCACCCTGGCAAAATTGCAAAATAAGCATCAATATAAAAAGGATAAATGAATTGCATGTACTTTGATCAAACTGCAGTGAAGCAGCTCGATTGTTTCTTTAATTTCATTTCTTAAATTCTGTGAAGTCCAAGACCAGGATTGGTTTGTTGAGGAACTTCAGAAAACTATTTCTACAAGTAGAAATAGTAGACAAACATTTAAGAGTAGCCAAAATGTCCAGGAGTCTCCAACAGCTTGTAGAAAACAATATCTGATAGTATTATAGACTGAAGGGCCATGTAAACCCCAAATTCACAAGGTACAAGGTGAACTCCCAGTGGGTGGCATTAGGAAGGGGAATCTGGGAGAGACCTGGAATTAGATGAGATCATAAAAGATGCTCATGAATTATCAGTAATCTCATGAAAATCTGTTCTGTTCACACAACAGAATTTTCATTTAATAACAATTTCCATGATACTGAATCGATTTGTAATTGCCATGTTTGTCCCATAAAATTTATTGTATCTTCCAAGTTCAAAAAACAGGAAGCAAAATGGAGCTGTCCACTATAAGGAGTTCTTCTTTATACAAAGGAACCAATATTCTCACGAATCTTTGTAGTCCAAATTTATCTACCACAACTTTTGTGGAAATGCAATCATTTTCTACAGCAACAATGACAGATTTTTTTTTATATTTCTTTTCTCTAGTAGCGTTCTTGATCCTAAGACACATAACTGCATTTGAAATCAAATTATAAAAAAAAGGTGAGGTCTCACAAACTTTCTACATGTGGAAAGAGGAAGCAGAAAGGTAAATAAGAATTTTTATCAAACACACACACAACAAAAAACCTATCTTTTTTTTTTAAATCTTCTTTTTATGTCTTTTAGAATAGTTTACTTTGCTGAGCTCTGAATAAACACATTCTACATTTAAAACTGGGTCTTAAATAAGGGGGAAGATCATTTCAAAGTGAAAAACACAGAAAGGGCTGGTGCTGAGGGAGCATAGATGTGTCAGGCTCAAGGGGCGGGTAAAGTCCCACCTGGTCTTGCTTACTGAAACACTCCATGATCACCCTCCCAGGAGACCTAGACCATGACTCCAGTCTAGGAGGCTTTCAGGTTTGCACAGCACTGCACTGGGGTGGGTGGTCCTTATGCTCTGGGAGAGTTTTCCTCCTATACAACTGTGAGAGAATGCAAGGGCAGGAATCACTGCTGATCTGGCCCCTTAGCACCAGCATCCACAGGCTCACTGTCCACCTGTCTCCAAGGAATGGGAACAGGGCTTGAGGGAGACAGTGTCCCTAGGAGGCAGCTATCTAGATGAGGCCTATTCCAGGAGATTCCTCAGCCCCAGGGCCTCCAGCTTCTCCCCTGAAAAGCTGCAACCCACATCTCAGGCTGTTCTCTAGGAGGAGTTGACCCTGAAATTGCCTGTACCCTGCAGGACAAAGGTCAGCTATAGGAACCTTGTGGCAGCCCCATGAAAGGGCAGTGGCCTAGTACACAGGACCTTGTGAAGAGTTGAAAGGGAACTTTTACCCTAAGGCATTAAGCCTCTGTGCCTGGGCAAGGTAAAGAAAGACAGACCCAAAGGGTTGTGACAGTGGGGCTAGCTGGTGGTGCACTCCTGTAATCCCAGACAGGAAGATCGCAAGTTCAGAGCCAGCCTCAGCAACTGGTGAGGCACTAAGCAACTCAGTGAGACCCAGTCTCTAATAAAAATACAAAATAGAACTGGGATATAGGTCAGCTGTTGATTGTCCCTGAGTTCAATCCCTAGTATCCCCACACACACCCAGAAATAAATAGCAAGAGTTGCAACAATGGAGTTCCGGTGACTGTCCTGTGCTTTCACCACTTGGCAAATGTTCACAAACAGAAACAAATATTTGATGCTGTGCCCACTGAATGCAGTGTGAGGAGCAAAGAGTGGATAATGCTCTGAACTGGATCAGGAAGTTGAGTCTGGAAATGTGAGGAGAAAGTAGGTATTATAAGGATCAATTAAAAGCCCTAGCAGGGATTAGGTGTGGGAGATGGGGGCAAATTGACTCCTAGTGAAGAGTACGGACATGGACTCCTCAGATCAGCATCCTCTACACAGGAGCCCCACACCTGAGGCAGGATCCCCTGAGGCCCACTGTCTTCAATGCACACTGAGGGGCTGGGCTGGCATCAAGCTGCACAGAGAGTGTTCTGCCAAAGTGGCTGCAGACCAGGCAGCACACTGGGAACCCACCTGCACTAGCCCACACCATGTCCTGAAGGCATCAAGGGCTGAGCTGTAGCAGCATCTGACTCAGGTCTGGGCTGACTGACTCTGGAGCTGACAGTGGGAGGCCAGAATCCAGCCACAGTTGGTTACCACCAGTTCTAAACAGCCCACCTCCCTGAGCAGTCCTGGCCCCACACACTCACCATTTCCTGCCTTCTGGAGAGTCCTGACTTCCTTCCTGTGGACCTCATAGCACCTGGAGGTCAAAAAGAGATAGACCTGAGCCAGAGCCACTTGGGCCTCACACAGCAGAGAAGACACAGTCCTGGAGATGGATTCTGAGCTGCAGAGGATGAGAGATGAAGGCCTCTGAGATCACAGAAGGCCACCTGCTCCAGAAGACCCCTCTCTTGTCCCAGCCCACATACGCACACTTTGGGGCCCGAGTGACAGGAGATGTATCAGGCTCCTGGATAAATGAGGCCAGGAAGGACAGGGTTTTGGCTACAGCCCTTTTCAGGCAGGGTTTCCTCCCTGCAAGGGGACCTGCCCCACCAGGGGACACTTCCACTTAAGCAGAGCTGAGTCCTGGCTTTCCAAAGCAGGCCCCGAAGTTCTTCTGCACCTCTGGGCACAGAGTCACAAGCATATGTGAGGAATTACAGCCTTGGTGTCCAAGGCAGCCGACTGCCATCTTTTTAACTCATGGCAGACACCTTCTGATACTGAAAATCCCTCCCCTCTTTTTTTCCCCTCATAAGCAATTAGGGGAACAGTTTTCTCTTCAGGAATCAGAACAAATACTTGGTACTCAAACTTAACTCAAGTTTCCCTCCTTCCTCCAGGACCCTGGACTCTGACCCACTGGTGCTAGAAATAACATAGAACCCTTCTTCCTGGTGCCTCTTGAGAACAGGCTGACTTCTGGGGAAACACTCTCTGACCTGGGATCTGACCTGGCCCCCTCCTCGCTGCCCTCCCCTCCAGCTTCTCCCTGACCCTGTTTGCCCCTCCCTAGGAAAGCAGCCCTTTCTGCAGGAGCTGTGGGTGCTTGCAGAGCTGACTGGTTCCACATACCCCTAAGTTCAACCCCTGGTACAAAAGAAATAAATAAATAAAAAGCAATAAACTCAGTGTGAGGGAGGAAACAGTATATGAGAATCTTTAATTGACAGAATATTAGACCAAATATTTCTTTTTCTTATTCTTCTGAATTACCCTTCTTCCTTGCCCTCTGGAAATATTTTCTCATCTTTTTTAGGTCTACTAATAAATGGCATTTTGCAGCTAATGAGTAACTGAAGTGAGCAAGTCTTTCCAAGGCAGCAAACCCAGGGAAGGGCTTCCCTGCCTGGACACTGACCTGTCAGACTCCAGCTTCAGGTCAGCCCAGCTGTCACCAGGCACATCCTCCCACCCCTTCAGGTTGCCTTTGTAGTTTCTTGGGTGGTAGTGGTCGCTGTTGTCACTGAGCCTCATCTGCAGCTCATTTTATTTTTTATTTTGAGACAGGGTGTTGCTAAAGCAGGTTTCAAAACTGCGATCCTCCTGCCTAAGCTTCCCAAGCTTGCTGGGATTACAGGCTGGGCCAAAAGTTTATAGGTTTTTGCTCCACACTGCTGGGGTCAGTTTTCCCTGCTTTGGAATCCTTGTTGTCCCTTCATGACTCTGAGAGAATCCAGAGGACAGGAATCATGTCTGTCCCTCTCCCTTCATACCAGCATCCCACTGTCTGACCAGTGGGTCCCTAAGAATGGACAAGGTCACAGGGTGCAGTGGCACATGCTTGTAATCCCAGCAGCTCAGGAGGCTGAGGCAGGAGGATTGTGAGTTCAAAGCCAGCCTTAGCATCTTAGGGATGCCCTAAGCAGCAACTGAGACTCTGTCTCCACATATTAAAAAAAGGCTGTGGATGTGGCTCACAGATTAAGTGCCCCTGGGTTCAATACCTGGCTTAAAAAAAAAAAAAAAAAAAAACAGAATGGAACAGGTCTTATGGGGAGACAGTGTCCCTCTCCAGGAGATTCCTCAGCCCCAGGGCCTCCAGCTTCTCCCTTCAGAAGCTGCACTCCACACCTCAAACTGTCCTCTAGGAGGAGCTGACCAGGGCCTGAAATTCCCTGCATCTTGCAGGACATGGGGCAGCTGTGGACACCCTGTGACAACCCCCATGAAAGAACAGGATAGTGGCTCGGGACACAGGATCCTGTAAAGTGGCCAAAAGACACCTGTGCCCAAAGGCATTTATGAGGCACCTGTCCTTAGAGAAGATAAAAGAGTCATAAGTGCTTCTTAATCTCAAGTTCAGGTCATTCCTCTCTGCTTTCCACTCCTAGGAAAGAAATGTTCACCCACGTAAAAAAAAAAAAAAAAAAAAAAAAAATAGGCCGTCCATTACTTGGTGAAACTACAACAACTAAATCACTGTCACCTGCACGTCGCCTTAAGAACGGACGGTCCAGAAAGTGCGCGCCAGAGGGTGCAGTCGGCGGCGTCTGGGAACGCGGGAAGGCACAGCTGCTGCCCTAGGAGGAGCCAGGCTCTAGAATGGCAATGCATTTGGGACCCGCTTCTTGCGCACGGGGAACGGGGCGCGCGGACAAGCGCGTTCCTCCCACCGACCACCGCCGCTGCGTTCCTGGGAGCCGCCGGCTGCGGGAACTGCCCAGATGACCCACGGAGGTCGGAGGTTCTCAAAGGGAGAGGACTGGACTCCAGGGTCCCGCTGCCGCTTAGCCCACTCCGCGGTCCCAGGGGACAGGGGACAGCGCCACTCGCCAACGGGGACCCGCGCCAGCCCACTCGCGGCCCCAGAGGACAGGGCCCTGAGCCACCCACCAGCCCGGACTCCGCCCCACGCTCCGCAGCTGAACCTCACGCCGGTCCCCACGCCGGGCGCTGATCGGGTCCGCCAGTCTTGACCGCACACCCACCGTCTCTGGTCTGCGGAGTGATTCGCTGTCCTCCCGAGGAATCTTTAGAAACCCGAGCGGGGACACACAGGCCGCGCAGAGCCTCCCGAGCTTCCGGAGCAGAGGACGCGGGCCTGCGAGGAAGGAGCTCCGCGGACGAGGAAGAAAAGCCCGCGAGACTGCGGAAGCCCGCCCTTGCCATCCGTTCGCGTGCTGGACTGGACAGTTCCGCCCCAGCGCCCTGATGGACAACACCTAGGCAACGCCCCCGTCGTGAGTGACAGCTAAGCTCATCCAATCCCTGGCTGCCAGAGGCCAGAGTGACAGGTGTATTGACCCATCTCTTTTCAGGTTCACCCTCGCGGTTGCGCTGAGACCTGACCCTGTGGGGACGTGTTCGCTGTGAAGCTGGCAGAAGATAGTTTAGAAATGGTTGTCACGAACCGAGCAAAGCAGAGGAAGAGATGTGCTGCTCCTGCCTGAAGCGACATGAGCTTTGCCTTAGCAGTTCAGAGCGCACCCTTCCTGACCTCTACTGTTGTGACCGCTTGGACGCTCAAGGGAGCCCGGCTTCTAGGGCAGCAGCCTGCGGTGGCGACCTGATGGGTGCCGCGAGCTTAGTTCACAGGTCTGGAAGCCACAGGGACCAAGTTCAAGCAGGTGAAGTTGATTATAAATTACTCAACGAATGTGTGCAGTGTTTTTTGTTTTTTTTTTTTTTTTTACATGTGATCAACCCAATACAGTAGGTTTTTACTAGTGGGTATTTTCGAGGAGACCGCTCTCACATTTACTCTGCATTCTGATCTTCCAGTACGTTTCAGTCCAGAATACGCCACCTTCCGTGTTGTTATGGATTGCACACGAGATGTTCCCCAGAAGCTCACATGTGACACCCATCAGGAACATTCGGAGGTGACATTTTTATAGGCCTGAGGCCTTCTAGGAAACTGAGGCAGTGTGACCGCCCCTTTCAGACCCCAATTCTTTAGAAAAACAAAGTTCTCAGGCAAGTTCTCAGAGTTATAGGCATGAGTTTATTAGAAGGGATAGGAAGGAGAAAGGGGACATTCTCAAGAGAGGGGGACCTCTCAGGAGAGGGACGGTGTGCACTTCCAGTCCTCCAGTTTTATTGGGGTCCCAGGGAAGTTCCTGGACAGTTCCAAAGTTACACATATTGACTTTTGACTGACAATAAAATGACATCAGACTTTTGCTCCCTGCTGTCTTGACAGTGCTAGGTCACTTTGGTCCACGTGACTGGTTCTGATTGGAACCTGTTCTTACAAATTTTATAGTTAGGGAGAATGAGCCGTAACTCTCTGAGCTTTAGGATCTGATCTGGGAAAGTGTCACAAAAGTCCCCCCTCAGAGTAACTTGGGTTCATCTTATTGACATTATTCTGGGCCTGCATTTCTCCTGCAGATAACAGGTAGTTTGTTGAGGAGAATGTGACATATGAGGCCAGGCAGTAGTGTGTATGAATACTTCTTGGAAAATAAAGCATGAGGAGGGGCAGGACAGTGGGCCCATTTTAGAGAATTATTCACTTGACCTCATGTTTCCACCACTCACATCTGTCTGCCTCCTATCAAAATGATTATTTTATGAGAGTTGTAACTTCATCAGTGGGTTCATCCACTTGATGGATTAATCATTTTAAAGAACCGCTATACTGGATGGTACCTGTAAACAGGCACGGCCTGCTGGAGGAAGTGTGTCCTGTGAGCTTGCCTTTGGGGTTTATCTTTGGTCCCTGGCACTCCTCTCTGTTTTTTAAAACATTTATTCTTTTAGTTATATACAATACCAGGATATGCCCTGACATGTTCATAAAGATATGAAATCAACCTATACCAGTTCAGTCCCCAGCACTTCCCCCTGCCCCCCCCACCCCTCCCTCCACTCCACTGATCTCTTCAGTTCATCTACAGTGTAGTTTTTTAAAAATCATTAGTGTCCTGTGGATATGCCTGATGCCAGGATCCACCATGCCCCGACCAGGCATATAGGAAAATTCTGTCAGATCCCTTCCACTGCTCCTTCCTTTTCCCATCCCTTCTTCCTCCTCCTCTGTCCCCTTTGTCTAGTGTACTCATCTTTCCTCTACTTTTGTTGAGATTTCCTCTCCTGTGTTTTTTTCTCTCTTCTTTTTTTTTTTACCACCCCTCCTCTCTTATTTTTAATTAGCTCCTGCATATCGGAGAAACTTTCAATTTACCTGCATGTATTTCTTTATGTATTTCTTACCTACTGCTGCAAAACAAATCACTCCATAAAATTAGTTTATGAACGAGCTGGCCAGCAATTCCAGGTAGGCTCAGCTGGGCTCCTTCAAGTGAGCATTAGGATGTCTGACCAGACAGCTCTGCTTCTGGGGGTGAGCTGGCTGTGTACTGGGGCACCTCCACTTTCCTCCCTGTGGTGCGCCTTCCTCCAGCAGGCTGATGTGGGCTTGTTCTCATGGAGATTTCAGGGTCCCCTCTATTGCTACTGTGGTATGTCCTAGCTGGCATGCCTGGGGATGGGAAGACAGCCAGGTCTTTCCTCTATCACCAGGGAGCAAGCTGGAGCCAGAGCCAGGGACACTCCTCCCAGGCCTCCTGTGCACCCAAGGACAATGGCAGGGATTTTCACCCCACAACTCTTTGAACTAAAGTGCCCATGGAATCAAGCTAGACAGGATGTGGCAAAGTCCCTCTCCACACCAACTTAGGCTGTGTACCCCAGGGGTGGGCAGACGGACAGAGCCAAGTCATCGCTCATGTCACCCTCAGTGGAGCCTGTGTCTGGAGCAGCCCTGAACCATGGAGCTCTTTCCCACCCCATGGTGATGTTACAGGTATGAGGCCTTCCACACAATTGAGGCAGCATGAAGAGCCCCCCTTCACCCCAAGACTTGCAATCATGCCAGAAAGATTCCAGACATGTTTCTCAGTGTAACAGAAGTGAGCTCATTAGAATGCATGTGAAAGTGGCAAAGGATCACTGAAGGCAGAGAGTGAGTCCTCTCAGGAAGGAGAGGGATAGCACACTCCTCCTGCTCTCCAGTTTCACTGGGAGGTCCAGGAAGTTTCCAGAGTTCTGTCCATGCCACCTTTTGACTTACATCATAGGAGCTGCATGGACTTCCTCCCAGAGAGGATGATGTACTGCTCAGAATTGGGAGTTTTTAGGGAGATTGAGTCCCACTGTTTTGTCTCAATTTCCCCATCCCCTAATGGGTTTCTTATTGAATTTCCCTATTTTTGCCTCAATTTCCTGCCCTTTAATTGGTTCATTACTTTTTAATATGTGTTATGACCTAGTTTTGGAGATAAGGGAGGATCCAGGAGCCTTGGTTACATGAAATAATGATGACATGGTCCAGAAATGATAGTTTATCTCAATGAATGCTAGAGGAGGCTTTGACCTAGCAGGCCCCCATCTTACGGGTGTTTGCCACTCAGATAAGGCTCCCGAGGCTCAGCCGCACTTCTTGATCTCTTCCTGCTCACCCATTCATGGCCAACTGGCCACCTAACAGTCTCTCCTGGATTCTATTGTTTTCTGTTGTGCTAGGGATTGAGTCCAGGGCCTTATGCATGCAAGGCAAGCACCTAAGCTATATCTACCAACTGAGCTATATCCCCAGCATCCCCCCAGATTGTTCCAAGACATTTGCACATCAGCATGATCTGGCTGCTTTCTGCTGAAGGAAGTGAACCTAGGAGAGGTGACCATGGGTCCTTGTTCTTCCTCAGGTAGGGCATGGAACATGAAGGGTATGTAGCATTGCAGAACATCAGAGGTTCATGTTGGTGCGTGAGGCAAATGTAGAGCAAGAATCATGCTAAGACAACAGTAAAAAGCACAACAAAGCACTATTGTCTGCAGACAGCACAGAAGCAATCAGTTCCATCGGCCAGTCTCTGAAAACAATGAAGACAGTAACTCGTGAAAGCTTCGGGGATGAGCCATATGCCACTGATTTGTGAGTGGAAGCCATTTAAGGCTTTAGAAAGATTTTCAGAATCGTGAGAAACATGCAGACATCATATAGTTTTAATAAAATCATAGGTGTCCCTTAAACTATAGAAATCTAATGTCATTGGATTCTGTAAAACACCTTTTTAAAAAATATTTGTCCTAATTAGTAATACATGACAGTAGAGTGCACTTTGATAGATCATCAGATTGTACATGATGTAGAATCCCACCAGTCATATATATACATATGGTAATAATGTCTCATACTTTCTACTATCCTTCCTGCCCCCATACCTTCTCCCCTTCCTTTATTCCCCTCTACCTAAAGTAACTTTATTCTTCCCTAGCTTACCCCCACATTGTGAATTAGCATCTGCATATCAGAGAAAACACTGGGCCTTTGGTTTGGGGGAATGGGCTTATTTTACTTAGCATGATATTCTCCAATTCCATCCGTTTACCAACAAATGCCATAATTTCATTCTTCTTTAAGGCTGAGTAATAGTTCATCTCATATATATATATATATATATATATATATATATATATATATATATTACATTTTTAAATCCATTCATGTGTTGAAGGGCACCTAGATTGGTTCCATAGTTTAGCTATTGTGAGTTGACCTGCTATAAACATTGATGTGGCTGCATTATGGTAATATGCTGATTTTAAGTCCTTAGGGTATAAACTGAGGAGTGGGATAGCTGAGTCCAATGGTGGTTCCATTTCAAGTTTTCTGAGGAATCTCCAAACTGCTTTCCATAATGATTGCACAATTTTCATTCCCACAAGGAATGTATGAGTGTATACCTTGCTGCCCTCACCACCCCCACATCCTTGCAACATTTTTTGTTGTTTGTATTCTTGATGAGTGCCATTCTGACTGGAATGAGATGAAATCTTAGAGTAGTTTTGATTTGCATTCTGTAATTGGTAGAGATGTTGAACAGTTTTTACATATTTGTTGATTGATTGCATATATTGTACTGTGAAGTGTCTGTTTAATTCATTAGCCCATTTATTGATTAGGTTATTTGTTTTTGTTTTTTTTTTTTTGGTGTTAAGTTTTTTTGAGTTCTTTAGATACTCTAGAGATTAGTTTGCTCTCTGTGGGTGGGAAAGATTTTCTCCCATTCTGAGGGTTATGTCTTCAAGTTTTTTTGTTTGTTTGTTTTTTTGGTGCTGAGGATTGAACTTAGGGCCTTGTGCATGTGACACAAGCACTCTAC